TTCCCCCCTGACAGCCTCCCCTCTCATCACCTGGCATGTGCCATCTTAGTCATCCCAGCTCTCCCACCTGCCCCACCCCAACTCTGAAATATCCTTTCCCTCTCCTTCTTTTCTCTTCCTCGTTCCTTTTCTCTCTTGTCACTACCCGCTTCACAGTCTCCCGTTTTATCACCATCTTAGCGGCTCCAATCCTCCCAGCTCTCCCACCTGCGCCACCCCTCTTATATATCCCCTGATTCCTCTTTGATTTGAACCTGCTATGTCTCCCACATGCTATCAATGGGCTCGGTGTGTCATGCCTATATACATCATGTGGCACACACAAAAAACACATCTGAGTGTATATGATGGCTCCTCACAATGTGCCATCTATACGGTCAGAAGCCCTTTCATATGCCGCTCCGCAGGAAAAAGTAGCATATGGAGCACTTTTACTTGTGCCATCTTTTTGTGAAGGAGTATACCTCCTGGAATTATACTACTGTAAGCTTCCCACAGCAGGCGGTTGGATGTCTTTGTCTCGGCAATTGAGCGCAGGTCTTTCTATTTGATATTCTAAGCTGGGATCTTCAGTATGACACGCTTGATTTTGCCATGCCAAGTGAAAGCCTCTTGGCAACTTTGCAGTTGCACTTCGATCTCTTGAGGTGCGTCGGATCGGATGCGAGTTGGGTGTGTGTGTGTGTGAAGCCCTTGGAGTCACAGGGAATCAGTTGATTTTGTAAGCCGGGGTTCAGATGTCTCCAGCCAACGAAGATGCAGTTGTTGCACTCTGATATAGTTCTGGGGCGCCAGAACTACGTACCTGCTTTATCCTGCTTTCCTTTTGCGGTGTTTTCAAGTTGTCACTCCAATCTTCGAGTAGAGGGCTAATGCACTCGGCGATGCGAGCGATCGTCGTCATTTCGCCCTGTCGCCGCTTCACCTCGTGGATTTGACGTTTTGATCTTTTGGCCTCCTAATGACTAGCGATGATCAGCCTCCATGACTTCTCAAGATTATGGTTACCTAGGTCGCCGTGTGGCCAGTGGCATTCAATGCAGTACGCAATATCTCAAGTGTGTGGCGGGGGGGGCAGGATAATGACTTCTTTGGATATGCATCCAAGATTATCCAAAATGATGCTACGTCGTATGTGCACCCGCGCGTTGGATGATGGGTGGTTTTCGGGTGGGGGAGGACAGGGTGAGGGTAGTGCGAAGCAAAAAAACGTAACAAACAATCCACAAGGCACCATATGGTTGTATATCCAACAAGGTTGGTCATCTAATGAGTGTTGCAAACAGCGGTCTCTGAACATATAGCTCTGCTGCTCAGAAACGCTGCTTGACTTGTAGACACCAGCAGGAGTGCCATTCCCATTGTGCATTCCCCACACGGCACTGAAGTATGTGTCCAGCTGTGCTGCCCTGGCACACACGATTTACGCAGGCTGCGGGGGCCTCCAACTTTGATGATTTTGATGATCTTTTTGCGGTAAGACTGACAATGAGTTGTCACCAACCGGCCTAAGTAGGTTCAGGCAAGCAATAGCCCCGCTGTTGTTTCGGGTCAGCACTGCCAAGAGCCGTCCCTTCACTCGGCGGTTGCCTGCCAAAGCTGCGAAGCACAAAAAACCTTTCTGAATACACTAGAATTGGTGGACCTTTGGATAATTCTTCAAGCATTTCGCGAAGAAGAACTCGTCTGCCTCACATGCCACTTGCAGGGACGATTGTCTCAATCTCATTTAGACAAAGCACCATCTTTCCACTTACCTGTTGGGATGATGGGATGTCCTTCCTCAAAAAAGTTGTAAATGCTATGGACTTCTTCAAGTTGCTTGAAGTCAAGAAAGGAGACTCAAAGTTTACTGTCGCGATGTAGTCTTCCCACCTCAAATGCTCCCAAACAACAAACAACCTTGTCAAACAATGACAAACAGACTTGCATAGGCGATCATAGGCGTATATACATTATGACATTATTTCAAAAGGTATCCTCGGCAAGCAGCGGAGACGTCCAATCCAGTTTGGCTCGGAGTTCATCATCGTGTGGCAAGAAGGTTGAAAGAGTCAGGGTCTCGTCACCTAAACAGAAAAGCATAGAACCATAGAAAGAATCATAGAAAAGCTTCTTTTGTCAGCCCGCTCACTCCCCTTCCTACTTAATTAAGTAGGCACCTACTTAATTAAGTAAGGAATTGAGGTAGCTACTAGGAACTTGTTCGCTCCTAAGGAGTTTAGATTTTTAGGGAAAGCAAACATCTTGGAGCATCTTGCACGGTCAAAACCTATGATGCATCACATTGCATTGCTCCAAGACGCAATCAAAGACGACAACTCGGACTGGAGGTCTCTGCTCCCGTCCTCGGTGTTCCCAGCAGAGCTGATGTTCTTTGCTCGAAGTGTTGCTGTGACAGCAAAGGCTTGAAGTGCAGCTTGAGCTACACTACTATACAAGCTTAACATGGCCCTTGTGACCCACGCCGCTCGGAAGCTGAACGCGTTGACCCTGCCCGATTAGTTCTTAGGCCTTGGCCTTCAAACTGACGCTCAAAGCACCAGACTTCCGCAGTGGTGTACCTGCCATCTGAACGCAATCTGAGGACAGTCCGTTCGGAGCACTTTCTGTCTCGCTTTCCAACTTCTTTTTTGTAGCCCGTGGGCCCCGTGCCTCCTTACTATCCTTACTTGATTAAGTAAGGGAGCAAGCTCCTAGCGAGTTTCTAGTAAATGGACGCAGGATAGATCACGCTTCTTTTTCAAGGAAGCTCCCCCTGCGAGAAGCGCTCACTCTATAATGATTTGGTTCCTAGATTTTTTGGTAAACGTGGCGCCTGCTGTGCGCAGAGGGTGTCCGATCCAAAGCTGGTGGAGATGGCACATTCATAACTTTCGGAGACTGTTCTTAAATGTCACGCTTGAAGAAGTGAGCTGTGAGCTGGTTGCATCCAGTGAACTTTTTGCCGAGGCCTAAACCTTCAATTGCAACAAACCCAATCAACGTGCTTTGTTCAAGCTCCAACTTCAGATCTTGGATTCATGGCCAGTGCAAAATGTCAGTACCTTATTTTATTTGCGGATAATTCACTCAGAGCCATAAAACATCATGCCAAATGGTTGGAACAGCTCACATTGCACGATGTGGGGGTGGTGTCTTTTCCTCGGTCAGTGACGCGATGGGCATCCAGCTTTTCCCAGGCATCCTTGGAAAGGCGTTGAACTTCAATGGATAACCTGGATCGCTCTTAATTTAGCTGAGCATGGTGCCCGCATCGTGTCCCAGAAGCATTCGATCCACATTGTGCGCCTAAGTCACATGTCATCCTGACTATATATATAATACATAATATAAGTGAATGTCTATCAACTTCTATCAACTCAGCAAACACGTCGCGTTCACTAAGGAACTAATTTGTGTGTTCACTAAGGAACTAATCCTGTCCAATCATCAGAGGCAGGCCTCTCCAGTGGAATTTCGTTGAGAAGCAATGCGATCTGAACAGCAAGCTCCTGGAGTCTGAACAATGCAGAAGCATGTGAACACCGGAGAACACCCTGGACTTTACGATTACAGTATATATAGATTCGATGTATGAAGAGGATGTGCATACTGCTATGAATTGCAACCGCATCGACAACATGCGGGCAACAAAGCCCATGGTCCAGGGTCATGGTGGCTTATACAGTCTCCTGTTGAACGGGTCTTTTGTCTGCCATCCACATCGCAAAATATAGGCCTTTCCAAACTTTCATAAATTCCAGCCTGGCTGTGCATGATGAAGTCATGAACAACTTGGCCCAGCTCTGTTATCTTCAAACAGTCTGAGTCGGAGCTGTCCAAATAAGATCAAATGAGTAGAAACCACCAATTCTGGGGTGTCGACTCCACCCAACACGACTTGGAATCGACTGATAGACAACCACGATCTATACCAAAGGCCTTCCCAGGTCTGGGTTCTTCTTCAGCCACTTTCTTAGTTTCTTGAAACCACGGTCTCGGACCACCCTGGCAGGCAGAAGTATGATCCCGCAAGGAAAACATCAGAACTCTCAGCTTTAGATTCGCCTTGCAAACCACCACCTTCAATCCAATAGTCCAACCCCTTGCCTATCTGTGTGCGCCAAGAGCTTTCCAAAGCCCACAGGCACCGCTTTGCCATCCTCAAGAAAGCACCAACTCGGAACTCGCCTGGTCTAGCAAAGGGGGTTGTTCCTGGATATGTTTTCTACTAGGAGCAAGGACGCTAATTACTAGTTGCTCCTGACCTTACTTACTTACTAGGAGCAAGAAGCTACTAGTAACAAAGGGCATCGCTACTAAGAGCAAGGACGCTACTATCTTGTGTAGGAAGGGTTCCACTATTGGATTCAATCACCATTGCCGCGCTCCTTTTTCGCGCAGCAACTAGACCTGTTTACCTTTGTAATGCTCTCAGACCAAATGGGAGCGGAGGATTCCAAACCTCATAGCTACTGGCTACTGCCATCATTTTTACAACAAGAAGCAGCTACTATAAAAAGTTGATTTTGTCGGTGAATGCAAATCAAGAATGCTGCAAAGCTATGCAAAGCTGTGAAACCTCCGCACAAAGTGCAAGCAGTGGATTTTGTGAGTGGTCCGCCTTGGTACGGCTTCATTGGTTGCGATAACAAGCAAAGCATAGCAAAGCATGGGCCTATCGACTGCGAGGCGGGTGAGTATGCGCACGCAACCGCAACCCATTCCATTGGGGCAGCATGTGAGCAAGTTTGTGGCGCAACAACACTGGGTGTTGGAGGGACGCTGTCAAAGAGGTCCAACCCGGCAAACTGCACCAAATGATATGGAACAATGAACAATCCAACTACTTCTCCTGCATCTACCAGCAGGACACAACACGAGCGACGGTATGCAAACAGCGCAGGGTCGTTGCATAGTTGCTGCAATGCAACAGGAAACCAAAGCTAAGCATCCGTGTAGATATAGCATCCCTGAACAAAAGTGTTGATGGGAAACTGTCGGTCAAACCATGTCAAACCTTTACAACTTGGCCAAGGAAGAGGATGCAACACACAAGGCCAAGCTACGCAAACATGTCGGGACAACTCCACTGGCCACAGGCAAGTTGCGGCAAAAAACTGAAGGTCGCGGAGCCAGGGACACGAGTCGTGTATCGAAAAATATGGTCAATGCCAAAGCAACTCCACAGGGCGGCAAAATTCAGCGGCTAGTATAGAAGGGAAATTGTTCAATTCAAGGATACACCAACCATTTCTGAAAAATTACACCAGCAGCAACCCAAATATTTGTTCAGTTGGTTTGCTTTAAACAGCCATGACATACACAAACACAAAAACAAAACCCGAGGTGTTCAAAAGCAATTGGGTTGATATTTTTCGAACGTACATTTGTGTATTTCGACAATGCGCTGCTTTTTCAAGACATGATGTTGCACGTCGCAAGGCGTTTATATGCGTTCTCGAAAACACCTGCTGTATATGATGTTCCCAAATTTTCCCGAATACATTCCGCAGTTGGCTAAATACAACTGCATGTGGTCAAAAACAACCCTGGTTATCAGAAGCGTGCCATTGCACATATAACTGTGCAGTTCGACAAATACAAGCGCACATTCTCACAAAGATGATGATCCAAAGATGCAACCCTGCTTTTTGCAAAGCATCCAGTTGCGCGGTGTCAGAGATGCACTCACTTGTCCATCTTGAGCATACAAGCCCGCGTTTGTAGCAGTACCGCGTTTTCATAAGCATGTCCTTTCAAAAGCATGACAGTGCGCGTTGCAGAAATTTTCCTGTGTATTTCGATCAATTCAAGTGCCCCTTCCCAGAAACATGGCGATGCTGCCTTTTCAAAAGCATGCCTGTGTGAATTGTCAAACATGCATCTGCGCACTCTGACTAATAGTGCGCTTCCAGAAACATGATGTTGCATTTCCAAAGTCAAACTTGGCCTTACCAGGGTGTTTTGAACAATGCAATAAATCCGACGAGGGTTGCCGGTGAGGAGACAACGGAAAACAAGTGAAGAGACAAAGGGGAAATCATGTCGTGACAAGTTGCCAGCGAAGAAACTAACTACACCAGCATTGACCCAAACAGCAGCAGCAGCAGCAGCTTGATGTTTTTGCCAGCAAACGCGATGTCTTTTTTTGGCCTGTGAACTTGCCGCCAACTCTTTTCTTTGCCATGGGTGACAAAGAGACAACGCAGAATCACGTCAGCCCAGCATCCAGACGTGCCGCGCCGGACAAACAGAAAGCGCCATGCGACACAAGGGGAAACAAAAGGAGACAAAGCATATTCATCTCAGCCTAGCGTCCAGAAGAGCCGTCGGATAAAAAGGGAAATGAAGGAGACAAAGTAGAACCATCTCAGCAGCATAGAGAAAAGCCATGGGAGACAAGGAGACAAAAGCCTGGCCCCATCTTGCTCCAAAATCGTTTCTATGCAAGAATTGACAACCCCTCACAGCTTTGGGGAACAATTGGAGCCAGCGCCAAAAATTATACATCACGACAAAGGGAGACAAGTGAATAAGTGTGTCGCGACAGGTTGCTAAAGTGGAGACACGTCGCAAGTGAGGAAATCACGTTGCGACAGGTTGCCGTCATGAGAAGCAGAGGGAGGCAAGCGAAGCGGAGAGACAAATGGGACAAAAGGGGAGACAAGTGGGGAGACAAAGGGAGAAAAATGTCTTGCGACAGGTTGTCATGCAAGTCTTTGAGAGGCAAAAGAATGGCAACATCAAGTTGTTTGGGGAATAAAGATCCCAGCCCACATGGAGGCCAGCATCAGAAGCCATCTTGCAGTGGAGCAAATCCTCACGCACTAACTAAGCACGTATTCTGCATATTACTATTGATGTGCGCCTATCTTACGCCGGCGAGCAGTCGATTTTGACGCCTTTGTGGGAGAATATGCGGATTACCTCTGTCACAAGTCACAAGTCTTTCAAAGGAGCGCTACAAATAACATTCAGAAACAAAGAACTTCAGCAACACCCTGCTCGCGGGATGAGCAAAATCGTTGTGACGCCGCGACGCTGCGTCTTCGCAGGTGGGGCCGCGACGCTGCGATTGTCCGGCTCCCGGCTCGCGTCTTCGCGTCTTCGCCCCGGAGGCTGTGGCGCTGCAACGCTATGACGCTGTGAGGTTCCAGCTTGCGTGTGCGCCCCTTCTTTACCTTCTTAGCGAAGTCTTAGCTCTTAGCGTTTCAAGTCGTTTCTTGTCATTTCAAGTGTATTCTTTTGGTTTCATGTGTTGTTTTCTTTTCGTTTCAAGTCTCCTCTTTTTGTTTCAAGTCCTTTCTTTGCGTCTCAGGTCTCCTCTTACGACGCTGCGACACTGCAAGGGACCGGTCCGCGTCTTCGCGTCTTCGTTATGAAATGTTTGCACCCGCCCTGCGCGCTCAATGAACCTCGCTTCTTGGAACAAATCTTCTTTGCAGTGTGCGTACCAAAAAGAATACAAAACCAACACAAGGTGAATTTCAGCTCTGGAAAGAGAGGAGACCGCTGAGAGGCAAACGACAAGATGCACAAAATGGATCAAAATGGCCGAACAAAATTGGCTGAGGCAGGGAAACGGAACGAGCCATGGAGATACTCTCCACCTTTCGGTGACAACAACTGCGATTCAAACCTTAGAGAACCTTGGCATTTGATGGTCATCGTTGTTAATCATTGTTCTACCTTCCTACTGGTCGTCCATCTTTCTCCCTGCGAACTGTTCCTTGTGGAAGTGGCTCAAGTTAGTTTAAACGTGGCCATCACATCCACAAGCGTCTCCTTGAGTACCTCATCTGAGGCGGCCATCTTGCACTGACTCGAGAACTGAGAGTCCAATGAAAGGATCATCTACGTTGCGTTAGCACATGACACTGGCGAAATGCAAGTATATAAACCTGAGAAAGGAAGGGGCGAAAGCCAGCCTCTGGCTTAGGGGGTGCCCTCACATTAGGCCCGGGCAAAGACTTGGCGTGCAAGAGGGGGTGGTGGGGTAGCATCGGGCAAAGATTAATTTCATGGGGTGAGTCAGGACCTTCCGCCTCCAACGCTTGCCCGCTGCAATCTCTTCTCTCTCCTGCATAGGAAGTGCCCTCTTCAGTCCGGTTCATCATGCACCCCATGCAGGGCGCCCTTTTCAGTCCAGCAACTCGACCTTGCTTCCGCTTGCCCGCTGCAATCTCTTCTCTCTCCTGCCTTCAACAACCACGTGAACTCCCACCACATAGGGAGTGCCCTCTTCAGTTCGCTTCTCTCGCAGGCCCTGAACAGATGGGATCATGCACCCCAAATGAGGTGCCCTTTTGAGTTCAGTAACTATAACTAGACCTTGCCACACAAAAAAAAGTGCAACTGAGGCAATTCAAAACCTTCCGCCTCCGACACTTGCCCGCTGCAATCTCCTGCCCTCCACCACGCAACCGCAACCCAACCTTGCTCGCTAACCTTCCACCTCCAACGCTTGCCAGCTGCAATCTCTTCTCCTCTCCTGCCCTCAACAATCCCCCAATCCACGTGAGCTCCCACATCATGCACCCCATGTGGGGTGCCCTCTTCAGTCCAGCAACTAGACCTTGCCATGGATAAAAAAGGGCACCCCTAAGCTATTCAGGACACTCTCCAGCTGCAATCTCTTCTCTCTCCTGCCTTCAACAACCTCCCACTCCACGTGAACTCCCACCATATATGCACTCTCTTGTCTCTCCTGCCCTCAACAACCCCCCAATCCACGTGAGGGTGCCCTCTTCAGTCCGGCAGCAATGCTAAGCTTATTCTCTTTCCATGGCCTCCCGAGCCCCTCGTGATGCTGATGATGCACTCTTCACCGTCAATTACATCACCGGCATCACAACACCCCTCAAACCACTCATTTTTCACTACCAAGTGGCCCACCTCGTTTTGCTCTGGGTTCGCCTCTCCGAAATTGGCCCTCTCGCGACCACCCCCCCCACACCCCCTTTACTCACTTCGTTCGCTCCAACAACCTCAAGTCCTGCCTACCGCCTGGCTTTCGTGATTGTTTTAAAATATACAGAGTTTGCATAGTTTACATATCCTGTTACACATCCTGTTACATATATACACTTCCTGTTGCATACAGTGTATATATCTATATATGAGTATACATAGTGGAATATAGTTTTCGCATAGCTTCTCTTCGAAGCAGATTTCGTATGATTTCGTTGAGCCTGCTCCAGGACAGTGGCTTGGTGAGGGGTTGTGTTGAAACAGTATGAACAATTGAAACAGTATGAACCAACGAACACCATGAAACAATTCAAGATATTGTAGAATTGAAAAGGGGCAGGTCCCAATTCAGTGTTGAATTTGATCCTTTTATGTTACACGACACATGTCCAGAATACTGTTCTGTAGTAGTGGCAACGCACTTTTGACACGCATCAACCGTGGCAATGCAACCTGACAGTGGGCTTCCTGAGCTCTTTCATCAACCCTATCCACGCAACCCAAAGAAAGAATCTGCAATCTTAGCTCATCTGCTTCCGGGAAACAAATGCCGTTCAAGTCTACTTCACTCATTTCTCAAGTGTGCCTTTCATGAGCTCATGCCCTCCCCTGTTTGTCAGAGGCTGCTTTCAGGAGCTTCAAGCTTTGCCACCTAACTAGATCCTTTGTGGAGGTATCACTTCGTCACCAGACTGAAGCTAACCCCATTCACACCTATTCTCGCTAAACTAATTCAGCGCTCTAGTATAGACACGGCATGTTGAAATGCATTGGATCATTGAACTCTGGAAGGGTTGCTGTTGACCTTCAGCACTACTCAAACAGTCAGTAAGAATCAACTAGGGCAGGCTGCAATTGAACGCCGCATCTAAGATTCTCAAAGTGCATAGTCAATATGCGCACTCCATGCAATGCACCACGCTGTACATCCTAATTGCATGCCCAAAAGAGTTCTCAGCAATTTGAAAGCCTTTATCGAAAAAGGTTGAACTCTCTTTGGTAGGGCTGCTCTGCAAACATCTGAGCAGGCGAGCTCTGCCCTGCTTGCTTGCGCAGGGGCGACGCAGGCCATGGTATGTCAGTGCTCAAATTCAGGCATGGAAACCATGCCACAGCAAACCCAGAATGACAAACTCACCAAGAATTTGATCCTAACCCATAAACTGTGCCTGGTTTGCCGGGTCTACCCTTGTGAGGAAAGCCCGTGTAGCTGCCACAGGTTTATCTCACAAGAGTGGCAACACATCTGAATTACTGTTGCCAATTCCCTCGGCGCCAAAATTGCAGCAGCAGACCTCAAAGCAGCAAAAGGCGGCAGTACAACAAAGATGCTTCAAACATGGTTCACAACTTCAAGACTTCGTTCAACGAGAACTTCTCATATACTGTATACTGTAAATATATATATATATATGGTTTGTCGGGCGTTATTTATTTGTTGTTTCGTTTAATGTTTATATATATAAAGATGTTTGACTCACACCCTTGTTTTCACTTCGCAGCATGTTGGT